CCGGTGGGACTTCCAGATACGGGCAAACTGGTGATGGCTAACCAAGCAGACAGTAGTACCCATAGTGATGCAACTATACCAAATGACAGCAACATCAGGAAGAAGGAACATGAGAAGCTTGAGAAGTACCAAGGGTTGAAAGAAGAACTTGAAAAGATGTGGAGGATGAAGGTAACAGGAGTATTGCACTGTTGCACTTGGTGGACCCAAGCTAGGCGAGTGGCTTCAGCATATCTCAGGAACAACACCTGCAGTCTGTGGCCTGGGTGTTACATGTCCTGTAAATGTTGGCTTGCTGTGCTTCTTAGTATAAAAGGTCTATCATTACGACATGAGAGGAGTCAGACATAATGAAGCTGCAGCCCTGGTGGCGGTGTGAGAGCAACAATTAAAAAAACAGAAATTAAATGGTAAGTAATCTTGCAAATGTTGTGTAAGCTCAGTAAGCCACAGGGCTTAGATGCACTGTTTTACCTTCACCTTGACATTGAAACCCATGATTAAACCTGAGGTTATCTGCTAAGCTTGTAATTGTGCGATTAGTAGGGTACATGCCTCTGACTGTGCACACAAAAACATTCATTATGCTTGAGAGGTGATACAAGAAGTAGTTCCTACCATCAATCAGTTCGACAATCCAAATAATATGATTACTTTCCACTGTGTTCCTGTTAATAAATGAATTCACACTGAATTTGTTTCTCTCTCTCGTAAAGCATTTGTTTCAGCTCTTCTTCGTTTTGACGATCTGTAGTTAGTTCTCAGTTTTTGTGCTTTTTAGTTTTGTTTAGCACATTTTCCATTTTGATACTTTGCTTTTTACTGTTAAGCTGGCTGATATTCTGATAACATCAGGTCATTCAGCAAGTTCAGCTTTGAATATTTCAGATATTTTTAAGCATTTCAGGCATTCACAGCATTCACATTGCATTTTACGACAATGTGCTTTATTAGGCCTATTTATGGGCCTTATTACTACTGCACGTGTTCATGTTTGTCATATTTCTGAATTCATTATTGATTGATTTAAAGTATATTGAAAAGACAATCACTATGTCCTTCTTAGTGGTTTACTCTTTGTGCACGACTCTTGTTTAACAAATGTAGTATTGCCTGTGAGAAATTAACCTTTTTGTTATTTCCTGTTATTTCTGTATCTGTCAGACAAATCTAATGGCCCAGCAGTTAATGCCCCATAAAGAGCTGTAATTACAAGGAGAACAGTACTATAGTACCACGGTTACCTCAATTTGTATTTGTGTGTGTGTTGGAAACCATGATGGCTCGAGTGTAATTAAAAAAGGAAGTGGGGGCCGTTGTGCAGAACAGCCAGAAAACCCACGAGTGGCCTTACATACACCCCATGTGAAGCACGAAACCCCGTCAAAACCACGAGTGTGTGAGTGACGTGTTGCATGAAGGCATGGGTAGGAGGGAGGGCTGGGACAGGTAAGACTGGGAGGTAGAGTACAGTGAACGACTGGTTCAGTAGGCTCCCTTTATACCCCACAACCCGTGATAGCAGGGAGAAGGCCGGCCCGGGGCCAGCGTGTCAACGCCCCGGAGCACCACAGAGTCTGTGGCAGCACCCATCGCACCACCACAAAGAGTGGAGTGTGCAGACGAGTTCCAAGACCTGGGTCACAACATGAGACATCCACTCAGTTACACAAGACACACTGTGAAGGAACGAGACATAGACAAGTTGTAACATTTATAGTTTCATTACACCATGTGGACTACACCTCAGCTAGCTCCGTGACATAACAAGTTATACATGTGTAATTACCTCCTTTGGCATGAAGACAGGGGGTGTGGTCAAGTTGGGCGCCACTGGAAACAAAAAGCTAAGCTAACAGAAGAGTTAGTAACGGTTTGACTCATGTGCATGTGATTCTTTAAACATAAAGTTTTCATTCAATAAGATGATAACAGGACTTGCTGGTGATGTTCAACAACAATTTGGCAACATCAAAAAGCAGCCATGTTGTTACAATGTGACAAACCAGAGCTGTGAATGACTGAGGTTAAAAGAAATATGACGAGTTGAGACCTAAAAAATAGGCTGGTGATGAACAGAAATGGCATCCATCCACTGTAGCAGAGATCACAGCGAGCTGAGTCCCCGTGTCTGAACATGATGAAGTAGAATAGCTGGTGTTTTTTTGTTTTTTACAACTGCAAACAATTAGAAGCAAGCAAACCATTTATTTATACAGCACTTTCAGAACGACTCCCTGCTAAACACAAAGTGCTGTACACTTCACACAGAAATGATACATTGAATAAGTAAAATTTTTTTTTAATTAAAATAAAGATAAAAATATAAAAAAATAAGATGATAATTAAAATGACATTTAAAACAATAAAATGAGCACTTTAGATTAAAACGACAAAATCAGGGTCATGCTGTGTCATATGCCAAGGAGTAAAAATGGGTTTTAAGACGTGTTTCACAAGTGGACAGTGAAGGGGCCTCTCTGATGTGCTGGGGCAGCTTGTTCCACAGATTAGGAGCAGCAGTAGAGAAGGCCCCGCCCCCTCTTGGACCTGGGTGCCTCCAGGAGCAGCTGGTCAGCTGGCCTGAGAAACCTGGGGTCTGAGTAAGGATGCAGAAGCTCAGAGAGGTAAGGTGGGGCAAGACTGTTTAAACATTTAATAACAAACATAAGAATTTTAAAATGAACTCTACGATGTACAGGCAGCTGATGGAGTGACGCGAGGATGGGAGTTATGAGCTCTCTTTTACGAGTTCTGGTTAAAAGTCGTGCAGCAGCATTTTGGAGCAGCTGCAGACGAGAGAGAAGACACCGACTAACTCCAAAATACAGACGTCACAGTAATCCAAAGGAGATGAAGTAAAAGCATGGATTACTGTTCAAAATGTGACCTGGATAAATTAGGTCTTAGCTTTGCCAAACGCCTTAAATGATAAAAACTGGACTTGACAGTAGCCCTAATTTGAGTGTCCAACTTCACTGTCCATCCTAAAACCCAGGTTTGTAACAACAGGTTTAAGATACTCTGCCAGGGGTCATGATTCACAACAGGAAGTCATTTACTATTCAGCAACTGAAGGTTTTTAAGATAAAACCACAGGATTGCAATCTGTGGCTTTAAAAGAAAATCAAACAAAAACAGACTTTCTCAGTTTGTTGCCCCTAATAAGGCGTTTAAACACTGCTGATATTGTTGCGTTCTCACTGACTTTGTGACCAATAAGCCACTTTAATCGAGTCCTTTGGTAAAATGTATCATGCCAGGTATTGAAATGGAACTTTTTTATTTTGCTATTATGTATTTGTTTCCTTACTTTTAATTTATCATTATTTATCTCAACTTCACCTTTAACCTTGTTTTTTTTATTTATTGTTTTATATTATTATCACTATTTTATCTTCTTTTTACTTTCTTACTACATTATTTTGTTGTTTGTTCTTCTTACTTAATTATTTGATGAAAAAATTGTTGATATTTGTTTGTACTTTGTTATTACTCTGGTTTCTATATTAATTGATTGTTGGAGCTTAATCCTAAGATGTTTATTTTCATCTATGTGTTTATTATTCCTTTGTCGCCTTGCTGTGATGTAATTGGCCTTCAAGTTTCTCTAATATGGTTAATCATAGTTAATTTATAATTTCTTACTTTTTGACACAAGGCCAAGGATTTGGGGCCCTGTGGGGGAAAAACATCCAACTTTGGGCCCCACCACTTTAATATTGCAAACCATGCTGACTCTAAAAATACAATACTGTGCAGAAATTGATCAAAATTTTGCTTCGATGTTTTGATTTTGTGCAAAACTGATGAGATATCTGCAAATCTTTTTTTTTTTTTTTTTCATTTTAATGTTTTTAATAATAACATTATTAGATATATGATGTAGAGATATAGAGAAATTAAAAAGAAATTAAAAGTTACACTAAGTTAACACTCAGATATGTAGTGGCATTTTAAACCATTAATCACAGAATGAATAAATGTGTGGCACCTCGCATCGTGCATTATCAGCATCACACGTTATGCTCCAGACAGCGGGGAAGACAACACTTAAATAACCTGATGTTAAATATGAAAACGTGTTGCTATAGAGGATGTTCATGGATTACTAAAATACGACAAATTAACATTTGAAAAACTCATAAATTGCAATTGAAAAGTGTGGCGCAGCTTGCACATTATGAATGATGCGAGCTGTTTGAAAATTAATAACTACTTCAACAAAACTTAAAATCTAAAATAACAAAACAATAAATCATCCTTTTTCTTCCTCTCAGGTTGTGGGTCAGCAGCAGGGAAGCCACCGGCTCCAGGTTATCTGTGGAAACATCGAGGTGTTCAAGGGCAGCCGATAGATGTTATCTCTCCAGTGCGTCCCAGGTCTATCCCGGGGCCTCCTCTGGGTAGGACATGCCTGGTCAGAAGACCTTACCCAGGAGGTGACAGCCTAGTGTCCTTTGAACTTAGGGGAGTTGCGGCTCTACTCTGCCCCCTCCGAATGGCTGAGCTCCTGACACTCTAAGGGAGAAGCCCGTCCACCTTCATTTCAGCAACTTTTTCAGTAGCGTTTACAAAACGATCAGGCTTAGATTAACAGATGTATGTTGTTTTCAACAATGCTGCGCTAACTGCTGGCAGACGGCTGCATAACGTTTAGGACAAAATAATTGAAATAATTAAGTATTGGCAAATATGACTTAAATGATCCATTGGATATCTTTTTAAAATGTAATTTTACAAGGGGCCTCCTGCAATTAGACACAGAGAGAGAACTGTCCAGTTGTCTCTTTTAGGTTAATCATTTCTGTCTTTTTTTTAATCTAAAAAAAAAAAAGACTAATAGATTGTTTTGCTGTTTTCTAGAGATCCTGTCAATCAAGGACCCTTTTCTCCCTCTGGCGCCCCCTGCTTGTACTGTTTACCAGCTGCATCCTACATGGATGCGAGCAGCAGTCTGGCTATTAGAAGGCTGACACAGGAAAAAAAAGATAAAGACGTGTTGTTTTCAACACAATTTATTTTACATACTCTCCATACACTTCATATTCCGTGTGAAGCCTTGGTATGTACTATTGCAAGTTGCTTTCAGCTTATCATGTCAGCACACACAGTCTTTAGTCAGCAGGTCCTTAGTCAATCTGCCCGCACTGAATTCCCTCAGCTTCAATCAACGGGCCCCTGGAAGATGAGTTTGATGTGGCCCTGCTCTCCTGTCAACCAGGTACCACAGAAAGGGCAGGCAGCATGAAAGGCATGAGTGCCGTGGGGCAATGGGATTTGGCTCCACCCTGCTACTGTCTTTTCTGAGCAAACATGACCACAGGGGCAGAAAGCATGAGTGGGTGGCCCAGCGTCCAGGTACAATCCCCCCTCACAGCCCAACCACAACGGCACGTAGGGGCCTACTCTTCGACACATAGGGCACTCCCTCTCACCTGTGCCGGCAGGTGCTGTGCCTCCGGGGCCGGGGGGCCCTTTTTCTTTCCGGTAGCCCCAGTTGTGGTAGCCGTGTACGTGACCGCAGTTGACATAAACCCAGGGTTGCTTCTTGTCAACAATCTCGCGCTGGGCCAGGCTGGGGAAGGCCAGCGTGTTGAAGCCCACAGGACACTGAGGCCTCGCAGCGTTCAGCTCCTGTCGAAGGCACTCCAGCTGTTTGAGAGTAGGAGTATGCCGCAATCCGGGGGGGGTCCTCCACAGCAAGGTTGCTCCACACAGATCAATCAGTGAACCATCCTGGAGTGTGTTTGACTCATTTTCAACCTTCAGAGCAGAACAGAAAAAGGAAACTGTGAGTGTAGATATGAAGCAAGGAAAGCATCATTATCAGAAACTGAACCAGGCAAAATCATTTTTCGTATTCCTGGAATTTTGGGAATTTTCTTAAACTAGAAAAACTCTTACACTTCTATGCCACCACACAATGGGTTCAAGGGTTCAAGGTTCAAGGGATGTAGCAACCTATGGAGTGTACAGCATTGGAGCAGCGGTCCCCAATCCCCGGGTTGGGGACCAGTACCGGTCTGTGAGTTGTTTGTACCGGTCTGTGAGAGTTGAGGCTCGGGTGTAAAATTTAGGGTTTTCAGGATTTTATCATCTTTTCCTGTGTTGTAGTTGTGTGTCTTATTTTGAAAGAAATATTTACACGTTACCATAGCGACCAAAAAGCATTATGATGTTGCTCTCAGTGTTGTTGGCGCATTTCAGGAGGACGCAGCTAATAAAGTTACACAGTGAATTCAGATTTATTATTATATTTACAAAGTACCACAGTTTTTGTCTCGGTCGTATCATGTTGTTGCATTTATCTGCGACACCTTAAAGGCCGCTCCGTAAAAAAATTGTCTGACGTTAAACCGGTCCGTGGCGTAGAAAAGGTTGGAGACCGCTGATGTGTAGAACCAGACAGCAGCTTTGTTTGTTTATGTCTCGACGAAGCAACAAGTCAGCAGATGTCTGAACACAGGCAGAAAAAAATATTCAGTCACATTTAAATTTATTTACTCAAAAGACAAAGAAAACTCTGTGTTTATGCATTTATTGTTTTTATATTTGCATCTTTCTTTCAATGCGCTAAGAATAAATACTTCCTAGTTTGACTATTTCCATTATTTCTAATGCTGCTCTAAGGTCACCGTCCTTAAGCTGCAGTTCGTCTTTGACTGCTTTACTTAACTTGTACACCTTCTGTGATCATTTCGATTATTAGATTAGCTTTTATATTAGATTATTTAGATTTAGATTATTCAGCAGGCCCCAGAAATGGACTGAAAAATAAGATTTCATTCATCATTACAGGATGGTGTGCAGCCAACAGCTTGAATGTTTCAAACAAAGGAAGTAGTGGTGAATTATGACACTGTGTTAGTCCAGCTTTGGTCTATTTCCTCAGAACGCTTTTCTTTGTAAATCAGCTGAAACTGTTACTGGAGTTAAAATCATCCACATGCTGGGAAAAACTGGATGTTTATCCTGGGCCAAGAAATGTTTGTATAAAGTCAACCAAGACCTAAATTTAAGTTTAGTTTAGTTTAAGTCGAGTTCGTTATTCGACTCGATATTTCTGTGATGACAGAGAAACCAACCAAATCATTGCCTCCTAATTAAATGTCAGAGAGACTGTGCTGTACGACTGCATACTGAGTATACTGACATTTTTCTTTTCTTTTGTTTGGTCCTTGTGGCTACGGGCCTTTACATGGGCTTTACATTATTGCACGGTTTAAAGAATAGCGTGCAGTTTAACTGCAGCTCAGCAACACGAAATCCCATTTAAAGAATTGCACTCAAACACACATCAGGAGCTAATACTGCTGAGAGGACGTCTTTCCTCCTTTTTGAAATATTAATAAAAAAAACATAACAGGATCTTTAAATACAGACTCTTTAAATACAGACTCTTTAAATACAGTTATTCGTAGCTTTTGATATTGTTTAGCTTTGCAGTCTGTGATGAATCAATCATCAAAAGAAAGCCCTGCAATTTTAAGCCAGGCTCAGTAGTTTGGACACTTGTATCCACATGAAGTCTGCATGAAACACATCAGCTGCTTTCTTACCAGTTTTCCTCTCTGCTGGGCTGAGCGTGTCTCCCTCAGTGCAAAGACATTGCCACAGACTGAGATTTCTCTCCAGACCCCAGGAGCCGGCTCAGACACAAACTCGCCCGCTGGGTGCATGACCAGCACACCATTGGTAGTCAGACCATCCATCAGGCCGTCTGATGTTCTCCATTTGGCAGCCCGCTCCTTAGATTCCCCACATGGACACACACAGAGCAGGCAGATATTCAGGTTAACGTGAAGACTGTGAGGTGCTGGAGGCTGTTGTTAGAGATGGTTAGTAAGGAAGCAGCTATGGCTGCGTTTGCCTTCTGCTAGCTCAGTGTAGACCAGTGCACTGACTAAAGCACAGAGATGCTGGCTTTGATGATGACTTTGAAAAGCACACTAAGAGTTCCTAACTTAAAACTATTTTACATACAATAAAAATAACCTTTATTAAGCATAAAGGGCTGCGTTCCTCATTCTGACTGTAATTTAGCTTAGAAAGGCTTTTGTGGACTTGAAAACAAAATATTTCTGTTTATTTTTCACTAAAAACATCACAGTAAGATGCATGAAACAGGTCGTAGATCATTTTTAACCTAATGTAAATTTATCCCAATACAAACTATGATCAGGTCTCTGTTTCATATTTCGTGGAGTTTCATAATTTTCTATTTACACAGGTTAGTGTCATTGGGCCTCATTTATATTTACAGTGCATAATCTGGCTAAAAACAGACAGAAATGAAGAGTGTACCAAAGTAAATCAAGCTCTTTCTCCTTTCACCCCACACAGCGCTTACATAAAGCTCCTCACCTATTGGTATCCAGCCTTTACGTCACTGCCACAGTCGGCTGTTGTCAAAGCTGCGCTTGTTTCACAGCTCATCAGAAACTAGGGGTGCGTTCCAAAAGTACCTCCTGTGTCCTATTCCTAACCTCTTTTAGTGGCTAGGAGAATCAATATGGACTTAGGAGAAGAGAACAGCCAGATGTGACGCCAGATGTCCGCTGTGTTGAAAGTACAATATAGAATAGAATAAAATAGAATAGGCCTTTATTGGGTGCTCCACACCAGTTGCTTTGGCCTCTGTCACATTCTGTACACACAGGACAGTCTGAGTGAAGGTCTCCAGCTCCTGCTCTCCAAAGATGGACCAGTCTGTGAGATCAACACAGTCCTAGAGCTGGAGGAGAGCATGGCCATGTTTTAATGACCCAGGTGTTTGGAGGGGTTTGTTTCCTTAGGGGGTGCAGGCAGGGATACAGTAGGTGGACTACAAAATGTGCACACTTGCCACAGCGTGTTCTAACAACAGTGTTTTATGGAGGTAAATAAAACACAGAACAGCCTGTGAAAAATATTACTTTAATATAAATGTTGGCATTTTAAAGAAAAAGTAACATTTAGGGCCTGATTTATGCCTGACTTAGACTTCTGCAGGAAATCTACTTATGATGTAACCTTCCTTCAGTTGTTGCTGCGTCGACCAAACCTGCAGTTACAGTTCTGGTGAAGTGCACTTCGGGTTAAGTGGACGGTCAGGACGCAGGGTTGTGATGTTGTAAGTTACCATGTAGATTCTACACTATGTCTATCCGTTTAAATATATTAGTTATCCTTGATCTCATCTTATCATATCTCAAATGTTATCTTTAATTAAAAGTGACTTTTATTATTGTAGATGTCAGATTATGTTACGTTGTCCTTTTTCCTCCTGTGTCTGCTCTTTCTGCTCTTCCAAAGACAGAAGACCAGGAAGCCTGCAGGACCCGAGGGCGTGTCCCCCTCCTGCCTGAAAGTCTGTGCTGATCAACCATTTTCAGCTGCATCTTTAACTGGTCTCTGGATTTGTATCCATCATCCCAAAGAAATCCACCATGATACGATTAAATGACTACAGGCCTGGCGCCCTGACGTTTGTGGTTATGAAGTCTTTTGAAAGAGTGGTGTTGAGCCACCTGAGGGACATCACAGACCCCCTGTTTGTCCAGTTTGCCTACTGGGCAAACAGACTGGCCAAGGATGCAGGACTATGTCCTGCAACACCTCGACCAACCTGGGATATAAGCCATTATGTCTTGGCCTTCAGGTTAACCTTTAATCCTCCACTGAAAGCTCCCCAGTTTACTGTGCCCGTCTCCACCTATCAGTGGATCACCAGCTTCCTGTTGGACAGGTAGCAGCAGGTGAGGCTGAGGAGCATTTCAGCCTGTCCCAGGGGTGTGCTCTCTCCCTGCTGCTCTTCTCCCTCTACACTAATGACTGCGCCTCCGGAGAGCCATCTATCATTCTCCTGAAGTTAGTGGCTGACGCCAGCATCATTGTTCTGATCCAGAATGGTGACGAGTCTGTGTACCGATGGGAGGTGGACTGGTGCAGTCAGAAGTAGGGATGGGTATCGTTTAGGTTTTATCCGATACCGGTGCCAAATCGGTACTTTTGAAACGGTGCCGGTGCTCAAACTGGTGCTTAAAGAATGGAGAACACAAAATTGGTCCAAAAACCTCTCATGTTCAGCTGTTTTTTGTAAAAAGATAACAATGTTAGCCTTTTCTGCAGCTATGGGGCATATATGGTATCACTCTTGGCTGGAAGCAGTGCTTAAACAATGGAAAAAACACAAACTTTGTCCTAAACCTCTCATGTTTAACTGTTTTCCTCTTTTTCTTTGGTCATTTTAGCCTTTTTGGCCAGGGTGAAGGGAGTATCTGCCATCAAACAAGAAGACAGCCGCATGTAGCTATGATGATGTTTGCTAGTTCACCTTACCTGCATTAATGTAATAACGTGGTTAGCCTACTCAACGTAAATTACACACGAACAACATTAAGCTACTCACGCAGAGAAGAACAGCTGCTGCTGCATCATCATCCGTCATCCTTTCTGCTACACTGGCAGGGCTAGGGGCCAGGACTCTTCGTGTTTTTGGGGGATGTTGCATAACAGCCAACCCACCCGCAGTAGATGTGCTCGGTGTGAGGTCTCGCAGCAAGCTATCAAATACGGCGCATTTCTGGGCTTTAAAAAAAACGCTATGCGTCGCCAGGTGTTTCATCGGATTTGAGGTGTTACCTCCTTTGACAGTATCACAGTATCAGCTTAAAGCACTTGTTGCTGCTGAGTTTGTATATTTTGCTGTGAAGTACAGCCAGACTTTTGACCGCTTCGCCTTGGGCATTTTTAATCTGTAGCTCTGCTCTAACAGAACGTACGTACCTGGCCCCGCCTACTATCCTCGGAAACGTAAAATGATTGGCTAGAAGTGTATCACAGCTCAGGAAAAAAAAGCACCGAAATAAAGCACCGAAATGTGCGCTGCTTTTCGGTCTGGTTACCACCGTTTATGTCAGAACCGACACCGGTACCCATCCCTAGTCAGAAGTACTTGGAGCTGAGCCTGTTCAAGACTGTGGAGATGACCATGGACTTTCTGAGAAACCTTCCCACCATCATCGTCTTATCATCCTCAAAAATACTCTCACTTCAGATTCCTGGGATCTGCCTTTACACACAATCTGGTCCTCACATATAGAGTCTGTCGGGATGAAGGCCCAGCAGAGGTTGTACGCACTGCAACTCGGAGTTCAACCTGCCACAGGAGCTGCTGTTCCTCTGCTACACTGTCATCATATATGAGAGCATTAACAGGTGCCTGTGCCACTTTTGTTTTAACTATGTTGTTTATTTCTTGTTTATTTGTATTCTTTATCACCTGCTGTAACACAACAATTTCCCCGTGGGATGAATAAACTCTCTCTCTCTATCTAGCTGGTCGAGTCAATACAAACTAAATTAAATGACTGTAGATTTCTTTCCTTCATAATATTTTCAGGTCCACAATCAACAGCCGCTTCATGAATGTAAATATGCACAACAACAAGGCGCAAACTAGGTGTTACACTCAAAACAGGAAGGCCAAATTAGACTGTGGTGGGGCGTGGCCTGCGGTGCCGTGCAGGGAGGGCGGATGCACCTGCACAGCATCCTTAATCACGCCCAGTTAAAAACACGGGGACTCAGGTTGGGGTGTTGTGATGTAAATAAAATAGCTCAAAACACTGATCCCTGGACCCGCTGTGCCTTATTCACTCCACATAGACGTTGCCAGAAAACATTTAAAGCTTCCTTAGGCTTGAAAACAAAATTCTTTGGACAGATGAAACAAACTTGTACCACAATGATGGAGAAGGAAAGGAAGTAGATTCAGATTCATACATCTTCATCTGCCAAACACAGTGGAGACAGTGTTATGACATGGATCGTCTCCAAAGGTTGATCCTGTTCATCTGGACGTAGCGTTTTGTGGGAGAAACGTTTCGTCATCACCAGGTGACTCCTTCAGTCTCAGCTGACTGCAGCTTTCAATCTTATAAACAGGACATTTGCATAATGACTGAAACCAGCCCACTGAAGGAACAATGGGCTGGGAGGTCAGTTCCTTAATCTTAATTATGCAGATTCTCATGACCACTGATCAACAACCACTGATCTTTTGGAGATTTACTTACCTGGATGATTGAGCGTGCATCATCATAACATGGATTGTATGGCTGACAGTGAAACTAGATTCAGTGTTTATGTTACTGCTGATTAAAGAAGCAGGATGAATTCTGAAGTGTGCAGGGCTATAATCTCTGGTCAGGCTTTGCTAAATGCTAAAAAGGTGCTTTAAGTGACTTTGAATGTGGCACGTTGGTCGGTGCCAGAAGTGTTTGGTCTAATTATTTCTGAAACTGCTGACCTGCACATCCATCTCCGCTTACAGAGAAATGAGAAAAAATCCAGTTAGCAGCAATACTGGCTGAAAATATCTTGTTGATGCCAGAGGTCAGACGGGACTAACCACACAGCTTTGATCTGACGGAAAGGCAACAGTAACAAACAACAAAGCTGCTAAATATGAATGAAAAGACAACATCTGCTCCGTACAATATTATACATCTGTGTTGTGTAAAGCGCTTTGAGTGCTCAGAGTAGAAAAGCAGTCCAGAAATTTAGTTCTGATAGCCAAGTTGTCAGGGCTGTCAATCTTATTATCATTCCTCGGTACTCTTAGCACAGAGGTGTCACATTTTAAATTGTCCCCCCCTGCTTCTGCTACGGTTCTTAAGATTATCAACATTTAGAAAGGAAGGAATATTTCAAATACCGTACGGGAACTAACAGCCGGAGGCTAATTTGAAAAAATATCCCCAGATAGCTCATATCTGGGTTTATATATTGTAGAAGTCAGATTTCCCACCAACTGTCTCAGACTTGCAGTTAATTTAGAATTAATTAAGTTAACATGCATATCTTTGAGGGTGAGAACACACCCAGAGATATAAAAAGTGGTTTAGTTGGTGAACTTATCCACAGGTTTGCAGACTACGTGTTTAGGGAGTCAAAGGCACCAGTGTCTGATGAGTCCGGAGTAGAAAACTGTTGTATGTAACCATAACATGTATAGATTATTTCATTTGGTGAGTACAGTATTATAAAAAATGAAGAAAAGCCTGCAAGCTAGTTCAGGCAAACTACTTGCTATACTGTCTCTTCCTGTCACATCCGAAAACAAATGGTGTTCAAATGCAGGATTTCACTTAGCGCAGAGAGACTGTAACTGTTTCAGAAACCTCCTTTAAACCTAGTATTAGTTACTAGTTACTGATGAAGGGAAAAGCAGAAGGACACTATGTTGCTTTTCAATACTTTAGCCTGGCTGACAAAGAGTCGCAGCACGTTTGAGCATCGTTTTGCTTTAGCAGTAGTGATGACTTCAGTAACTTTGTAACCACGGCCGTCTCGAGTCACACATCTGTTAACAAGTCAAACTGCTTCAGAAACTGCTGATACTTTACAGACCACTTCTCTCCCGTTGATCTCTCTGGGCTACTTTATGCAGACTGCCGCTAAATGCACAAGACCCCATCCCTGTAAAACTCTTTAAAAAAGTTCTGCCTCTAAATAAAGCGGAGATGAGTTTGTTGTTATTAATAAGTTAGGTACCACAGGTTTATAAGGTAGATATAATTAAGCTGTTTGAAAAAGTTGATCTAAATGGGCTCTGTGATCGTTTGCATAATTTCAGTCTGGATTCACAGCGCAGAAACAACACAGTGATCTTGGTATCAGACAGTGGACTGATATCTGTGCTTGGCCCAACAGACCTTATTGCAGCTCTCAATACTTTACATGGGACAGAGCCTTTAACTCTCTGTCCCATGAGACCAGCCACAGGAGAGGAGAAAGACGTCCTCTCCACTTTTAATTGCAGGATTTAAACTTCCCACTATTATAGTCAGACCATTCATGCTGCAAAATATGCTGCTGCTGCCCTGCATCACTGTCTGCTGATGTTGTCTGCAGGGAGTGATGAACTGAGCTGTAAGACACTAAACACAGCACCGAATATTAATTTGGATCAGAAATGTTATAATATGTGATCTGTTTACTGACTAAAGATTAAACACATGACCAAAGTCTCTTTCATAACTCATGAGTAACAACTCCCACACGCACACACACACACACACACGCACGCACGCACGCACGCACGCACACACACACACACACACACCCCTTCACGTTTTCATGCAGCTCCATCACATGAACAGACATGCATTCTTGCAGCTCTGATGTCACACGTGGGTGGAACAACCACATCCCTTCTGTCAAACTACCGTGGTTGCTATGGTTACCAGTGGCGCGTACCAAGCGATGCCTGTCACCCACGTGGGAGGGAACACTCACCCCCAGGAAGATGTTCTTGGAAGAGTCAAAGCCAGCGGCGTAGATGCGAGCGGTGTAGGGAGCGCTGCGCTCACACATGATGCGGCAGGCGTATCGTGAGATGGTGCTCTGAACTGATTGGCCTCCGCCCTCCCCCACCGCACCCCCAACTTGACCACTGCTGCCGGCTGTGTCCGTCACCACAAAATCAATCATGCTTTCTGTGGACCTGCCAATCTGAGAGAACCGAGAGAGAGAGGGCCCACTGAGACCATACAAAGACATGCTGAGCACAAACACTCCAGTGCAGTCTTATTGTGCATGTTTTAGAAATATGTGCAATTATTTGCATACAAGCATCAGTCGGGTGAAGAATCCTAGAAGATAATCATATGTTCCAGCTGATTTTTTCTTTCTTCAGTTTCTGTCAGCTGTGTGATTTTAGTAAAACTTTATAGACCTCACTGTGTAAAGGAAGAACAGGCCAACAACCTGGCTCTACAATAATAGCAAGACTGAATTGATTTACTTAGTTGCCAGGCAGATGTGGAAAGTGTAACACCAGCACAAAGATGATTATTCTGAAAAATGGTGAGACCTGGATTAACCAATAAGAATGGGTCCATACGTTTTGAATGGCAGAAGCCAGTTTTCAGTAACATTTGACCAAATACATAAAGTAGTACAACACTTGTGATTAGTGATTTCACTTTGACCGCTCTGAGTAGAAAAGCACCACACGAGAACCAATCAAGTCCATGTACAACGGACACGCCTCTGTGTTTACTATGTGGTGCTGCATTTTGATTTTCAACAAAGTGAGAGTCAACGAACAAAATGCTTTCGAGCCTGGCTCGTGCATGTTTTAATTATAAAAAGAACAATGTGTGACAGGAACAGTATTTTAATAGTTACTGGAACCAGGCTGTACCACACAAAAGGTCAAACATGCAGACTTTTTTGTGTGTTATTCAGAAGGAGCAGGGACTCCACTCATGGATCTGACCCTTAAATAGAGAACAGTGGAGCCCTGGCTTTGTTTGGGTCTTCTTCATAAGAGAAGGTGGCTGGAAAACAACTGCAAGCTGCTGAGGGCACACAGGTCTGACTGCAGACTGGAAAACAACTGCTGCTGGTTTTACAGCTTTATGTTGATCTACAACAACTGCTTTAAAGTCTGAAGCAGAAAAACAAAAAATATTAGTTTAATTTTGTAAATATGTGATATTTAGGTCAATCAGTGACAAAGAACATCGGAGAATGTTGTAATCTTTAAACCTTTTCATCCTGAGAGACATAAATAAGCTTGAATAAAGGCTTGTAGCCATTATTAAACCTCGATTATCCTTTGATTTGTCATACTGTTACTCGGTATGAAAGGTCCAAGTTTAAATGAATATCATCAAATTTCAGCTTGTGTTTTTACAGTTACTATTTTCCTTTTCATATTCTTCCTCGAGCTAAGACTATCTGAGGGTAGGTGTTCAACAGCTAACAGATTTCACCCGACCAGTGTCCAGTGGTACGGCTCTGACTTCTGTTTGTGGTACGTTGTTATAATATTTTACACGATTTTTTACTGTCCAGTGTCTTTTTCCACAACAGGAAACAAAACTAAAATGTTGAATTGGCAACCACACACGTGTGTGTGTGTGTGTGTGTGTGTGTGTGTGTGTGTGTGTGTGTGTGTGTGTGTGTGTGTGTGTGTAGACACTGACCTGAAACATATCTGTGTTGGTGTCATGGGTGTATTCCACAATTACAGAGTGGCTCCGTGACAGTGTGTAGGAGATGCTGTGCTGGCTTTTGTTGCTGAGTGCCTGCCAAAGGAAAACAGATTACCACATCACATCACTGACCTCCAGAAAATCTACTTGGAGAGCATTTTCTATTTTTAAAGACAACAACAGCACTTGGATTTATATAGGTGTTTTTTGTAAATACTAATCATAATATTAACAACAACACAGACAGCATCTATCCTCAATGTCTTACTGTCAATGTGACAGCACGGTGTGTTTTTTTACATTATTAATGCAGCCATTAACCATGTTCTAAAGGCAGATTTAAATATTAACCATTACATATAAATTTTGCTTTTGCAACTTATTTGGTTTTGATCACAGAGTTGAGCATTCAAAGCTTCCCTCTTAGTTTTACTTGCACAGATGAGAAATACGACTCCGTTAGCTCAGGTTAGTAAGGTTATTAAAGACTGTTAAATAAATAGCCCGTAGCCATGGCAGCTGAAGTTTTAAGGCTTTGGCAGAGTGATGAGGTTAAAACTAGAAACAGTTTTTTTCTTTCTCTTCGCTAATGAGGAGTCCAAGTCTAATGAGGTCTTTTTGGCCTAAAGTAGTAGTTTGCTGTTTGTACAAGACCGAACATGAAAAACTTTAATTGTATATAAATAATTGTATATTTTTAATGAAAGAGCCAATGACCTGTAAGCTATTAATCGCGTGAAAGAGTCAGTGGAATTAATCCACTATGAAAGTAAAGAAGTGAAAAAAAAATATGAAACTATCAAGAGAGTCAATAACATTGAGCTAAAAAAATGGAAAGCAAGATACTTGAATTATCATGTATCAAAGATGCCAGGACCTATGCCTATAGGGCTCCCAAACCTGGAGCATCTGTGCTTTAATGAAGACCTGTGCCCAGATGACCATCAAAGAAGAATTGCACTGGTTGAGAAAACTTGAAAAGCAGGGAAATGGCCCCAAACCTCACCTCACTGAAGCAGGAGGGAAAAGAAAAGAGCTTCAACTTCTCGGATAATATGTAATTTCAAGGTGGTGCATACGTTACATAACTCCCATTTGGGGGTCTCCAGGTTACTGTATTGATCTCATTAGTGTTGCTCAATAATTGTTACATTAAATCTTGCCAACGTTTGCTATTATTGCTCGCTAGTTCTTAATGCATTAAGCTACCATTTACAGAAGCAATCCAAACGTAAAAATAATCACTTTTAAATCTCAAGACACATAACCAAAAAACCCCGCATATTTCAAAATGCAAAACAATTTGAAAACCAGCTTTTGCCCAATTTAAGAAACTCATTCTCTACTAAGTGAGACTAGTTTTTTGTAAAAAAGGGAGGGAGATGTAATCTTGCTGTATCTATGTCCTTTTCTATATCTATTTCTATATTCTTAGGATTGTGCAATCGAAGCATGATCATCATCACGCAGCGCCTCTACTCAAGACCTGTGCAATATCATCTTCAACAGAGACCCAGACATTTAGGTGGGTCGAGAAGGAGGTTTTTGAAAATGAAATGAAATTTTCCAACACAAATAACTTGACAGATGTTGGTTTCTTTGTGCTCAGAGTTTGAGTCCAGTTTCCTTAGAAAGAGCTCACCAGGAAGACACAGACGGCGCTTCCTTTGCACAACATGTAAGGTCATCATACATAGTTTCAGAGCGCCACTGTATAACAATACTAAACAATAACTCAAAATAATTACAAGGGGTTTAGTAGCCCTGTATTTCACATGGGTTACAGTCATATGACCTCCCAACCTGAATGCTGGTAATAAACAATGCAGAATTTATTGGAAATTGCAGTACCTGGCAGAAAGTGTCTGAATCCTGACAAGGAATGAATACTAGAATAACTTTATTTAAAATTATATTACATAAATGTCTTAACAGTACCCCTCCACGAATCGCTATCTTATCGTGGTGGAGGGGCTTGTGTGTCCCAGGGATCCCAGGGGCTATGTTGTCTGCTTTTGCCCCCTGGTAGGGTCTCCCATGGCAAATTGGTCCTGGTTGAGGGACCAGACAAAAATCGATTCAGAAGACCTCTATGAGTGCACGATCAAGGGAACACTGCCTGGGATAGGTTGACTGGAGCCCCGCCCTAGAGCCAGCCCTGGGGAGGATGCCCGAGGGTGAGCATCTGGTGGCCGCACCTAAAGGGACATAGGCCCATCGTCCTGCAAGCCCACCACCCGCAGGAGGCGCCACAGTGATGGGTGGAATCTGTGGTCCTGTCCTCTGTTGTGCACCTTCTTCCTGTTTTGTATATACTCCTCTTGTTTGTTATTAATTCTTGCTGTCCTACTATTAATATCTTTATACCATGTACAGCTTGTGTGGAGCCCACCAAACTCTTATGACAAGGAAAACTTCGTCGCTGTTCCGGGTCGCCGGTAAGGTTCCAAGAAGAGATGGGCAGTCAGGCGTTACAAGCAATGCGTTACTGTAATCTGATTACTTTTTTCAAATAACGAGTAAAGCAAGGTATTACTATTGCAAAAAAGGTAATTAGATTACTGTTACTTTCCCGTTAGCACACGGTGTTACTGCATTACTAAACCTTGATTTTGTTTGCGAGAGTGTCTCATGACAGTGACGTAAGCGAGTGTGACGTTCGTGGCAACAGCTGTGTGCAGCTCAAAAATGGATAATGTAACGAGTGCAGGAGAGAGTATGAGCGTGTAGCGTTTAAAGCGTGGAAGTACTGACGTTACTTTGAGTTTGATTCCGTAAAAAGTGACAAAAACATTAGTGTCTGCTGTTCACTGCGTGGGAAGAAAACTTACTTAAAAAAAATACAGAAACTTTCGAGCAAGCACCAAGTGTGCTGCCACGGGAATGTGAAATTCACAGAGAAACTCCCGGATCCTTCCACTGACATGACCGCTGCGGCACACCTGCACCAGGGTAAACCTCCGCCTACCCTACTCCTGCTAAACAGGTGAAAATAGAGCAACAGGACCGCTGAGTCTTTGATTTTATTTATTTTCTGCTGTGTTTTACTTGCATCTATTTGAAAGAGTGAATGTAAACACAACAACATATTTTATTTATGCAGGAAATGGGTTTAAATGGTAAACAAATTTATTCCAGTCAGAGAATGTTGCATATAATTTAATTTTTGCTTGATGCATAAAGTTAAAAGATTAAAACTAATAAAACAAGTTTTAAATGTTTTCATTTGATTACATTTTATATGATTGATAATGCAGAAAAAGTAGAATTGCTTTATTACCTATTCATATTTTTAAAAAGTAACTAAGTAACTAATTGCTTTTGAAAATAAATAATCAGCAAAGTAACGGGATTACTTTTTAGGGGAAATAATCAGTAATTAGTTACTGATTACTTTTTCAAGTAACTTGACCAACACTAGTTCCAAGGCAGGTATACTCCATGCTATGGTGGCTTTGGGCTGTAGGCAGACCCTGGTCCACTAAACCCTGGTTCCCCCAGGCGCACTGCTGGGCACAGAGCGGGTGGAGGTTAGGTGTGTGTGTGGGGACATTCATAAACATCCCTTGGTTCTGGTGAAAATTAGGGTATAAGCGAAAAACGCATAGACTGACAGCTGTGGCCCAGAGAGTGGATGTTGCTGTGTTGCAACAGTGATTTACAGATGTGTTCTCTACTTTGCCCGGCTGTATTAATCTGGTGTGCAGCCTGGTGTGACGGTGTGTTCACGGCCCCACAGGTTACCTGAGCACAAGACACAAACTGTGTAAAAGGAATTGGCTGAAATGCTGAAGCTGGGAGTAATAGAAGCCCCATAGTTCTTGGAATAAAGAGAGATGGGTCTATATGGTTCTGTGTTGACTACCACAAGGGGAACGAAGTCTCACAGTTTGATGCCAATCCCATGTCCCGGGTCAATGAGCTCCTGGACTGGTTTGGCACTGCTGTTTGTTTTATGATGCTGGATTTAACCAAGGGCTACTGGAGGTATGGGTCGTGCCAATTCCTCACTCTTCAGTTCAGCTTGCTCTGAGCCACTTTCCAGCACCTCATGGTGCTACGTCCACACACTGGAGCTGCTGCTGCCTACCTAGATGTCCGTGACGCATGCAGGGCTCACGGCCAACCCAAAGAAGTGCGCTGTTGGACGGAGGGAGTTACAGTGTTTGGGGTACCACTTTGGAGGCTGGCTGATGCAAAGATGGAAAAACAGCCATTTCAGCCAAGACAAAAAAGGAGGGGAGGCGGTTCTTCGGGCTTTTCAAATAAAAAAGCATGCCTAATATGGTGTTTGGGCATAATGGTCCCATTAATAAACACCTCAAATGCAGGACACTGGTCAAAAACCGAGGGGGAAGGTAAATATCAGTGGGCTCCACCTTTAAAACCGTTCATGTTGTCATGGTTCTGACCCAGTGTTTTGAGTTTTCTTGTTTTATTATTTCAGGTTGATTTATTAGTTTTGACTTGATTCTGTTTGACTTCCTCGTCCGTTTAGGTTCCCGTTGTGTCTTTGTCCTCTGTGTCCCTCTCTGTGTGTTTGTTTATGTGCCTGTGTGTGTCCTTGTGTCTCGTGTCCCCTTTCTGACCCCTTGTTCTTCTCGTGTTCATTCCATGCCTCCACTGTCTGGAAACTTTGTCCATGTTTCCATCATTTCTTTCCCTCAACCTCTCTCGCCCCCTCTCCTGTGCTCCCTCACTCTCTCTCGCCCCCTCTCCTGTGCTCCCTCGCCCTCTCTCGCCCCCTCTTGTGCTCCCTTGCCCTCCCTCGCCCCCTCTCGCCCCCTCTGCCTCTCTTGTGCTCCCTCTCTTGTGCTCCCTCGCCCTCTCTCGTCCTCTCTCGTCCCCTCTGCCTCTCTTGTGCTCCCTCTCTTGTGCTCCCTCGCCCTCTCTTGCCCTCTCTCTCCTCTCTCCCTCTCGCCCTCTCTCGTCCCCTCTCCCTCTCTTGTGCTCCCTCTCTTGTGCTCCCTCGCCCTCTCTCGCCCCCTCTTGTGCTCCCTTGCCCTCTCTCGTCCTCTCTCGTCCCCTCTCCCTCTCTTGTGCTCCCTCGCCCTCTCTTGCCCTCTCTCGTCCCCTCTCCCTCTCTCGCCCTCTCTCGCCCCCTCTCCCTCTCTTTTGCCTCCTCTGTCTCGTCGTGTCTGATTAGCTCCAGCTGTGTTTCCCTCCCATTTCTCGTTCCCTCATGATCCCTTGTGTATTTAACCAGCAGAAGGTGAAACTGATCAATAAGCCCTTCTGCTACTATTGATTAGATCAATATCCCAGAAGTTTAACTGAGTGGATGTTTGAAAATATCAGGTTAATGTTTTGAGCAGTATATACATATTTTTATTGTAACTTGTTTTTTGCTCAGATCAGTGACAATTCAATGATGAATTACTTAATAGTATAACAAACTGATTTCTTACCTTTGACACCAAAGGAGTTGAGACATTGTGGATAACATCAGGTTTGACCCCGTTGGCTTTGGGTCTCTTGTAAAGAGCCAGACGACTTCTTCTGCGACCTTTGTCCCCATTGGCCAGTGACCCGTTGTGCCTGTGAAAAATAAAATCAATCGTACCTCACTATAATGGCTATAAAGACTTAAGTTTAAACAATTCCTTAGCAGAAAAACAAACATGGTAGCAAGTTTTTCTTTTTTTTTTTATTCTATATAAGTCAAAGGTGCTCCCAATGGAAAACTGCATCAGTGCTGGGCTGGTCAGTGGACTTTTGAAATCAACACTGGCAACCTGGGATGAGGAAGAAATCTGTTTCAGAAAGAAACTATTTCATGCACCATGTATTCAAGTGTACTACGTAGGTGCACGGCTTAAAGTGGGATTTGGCAGGTGGTAAAACAACGACTCATGTCAGTCACATATCTGTTGGTAGCTCTTGGAGATGTGTTCTTTGTCGACAGGCTATCTGACCTTTGATGTTGCTGGCTCTGAAGTTCACTACTCTTTGTGAATTGTACCAACTATATTCTACAATATATAAACAGCTGTTACAGGAGCCATTGTGGCTGCTTTGCAAATTGTAGCCAGTAAGAAACTTGTACAAAAGCAGTACTTGGCAAGTGTTTAAAAAACATGAGCAACTTAAATTCAAATTGATGAGTCTTTCAAGAGGCAAGTCAGTATACTCAGCAGTCAGATTAAAGAAAAAAAGGTCAACAAAAATCTTTTAAAATACTGCAAATGACTAGTTTTAGCCTACACTAACCATCCCGTGTAACCGCTGAATAACATTTAATTATAATTCTGTTTGTTAAGCAACAGCTCATGTGCAGATCTACCATCTGAATGAAAAATAACATGAATTAGAATCCCAGAAAACTGATGCTTGTCATCTGAGCGTTGCATTTTCAGTGGAAGAAACGTTTCATCACTTTTCACTCAAATGAACTCTTCAGTCTCAGCAGACTGCAGGTTTCCATAGACTTATAAACAGTGCATTTGCATAATGACCAAAGCTAGCACTGCTGACTGACAGTGAGGTGTGTGGTCAGACTCATGATTGGTGATATGCAAACTGATATTGAACAATGGTCATGAATACCATTCAAGGGGAGTTGAGGAAGGGCTGCACACTGCACCGTAAGATGGTGAAAGATGCAGCCCTGGCCCCTCTTTGGTTCAGAGATGGTCTTTCCCTTTTCACATAAATGACCTCATTGACTCTGTGCTCAAGCCAGCATTCCTCCTTCTCCAGGATGTGCACATCACCCTCATCTTTGAAAGAGGGATTAGTTTGAAATGATGGCTGCACAGAGAGTTGTCGGAGGCAGCCTCTTAACCGTCACAGAAATATACACCTCCAGATGCAGGAAGAGGGCCACCTGTATCATGCAGGACCCCACTCACCCAGCACACCCACTCTTTGTCCCCTCAGGCAGGAGGCTGAGCATCAAACGCAAAACCACCAGACTGAGAAACAGCTTCATTCCAGAAGCTCTGAGACTTCTCAGTGCATAATGGACAAGAAACTGCTACTGTAGTACCTTAATCAGCTGATACTTTGCTGCTAAAATATTTATACCTACACTCAAAACTCTGGAACAGCTTGCCGATTGATCCAATCCTTTAAATCACGTTTAAAAACCCACCTGTTCAAGCTTGCCTTCCAAACAACTTAGTTTTTAACGTTTCCCCGGTTCATGCTTGTTGTCACGTCACCATTTTATAACTGTATTTCTCTTGCTGATAATTGTATTTCCTGCTCCTTTACTGCTGTGACCCCGCAAATGCGGCTCGTCTGTGAAGCACTTTGATGTACCTGAGACTTTTAAATGTGCTATAGAAATAAAACTGAAACACTTCTATATCTATACTCCATACTGTTACTCAGGTTGTTGCACTTCACTTATTTGTATTATTCTATTTGGTACTGTTTTATTACTTGTCATTCTGTTGTTTTTATGGAAAACTGGGACCATGGGTAATTTTGTTCCACCTCATGGAAACATGCAATGAGAAAGACAATAAAGCTTCCTTGAATCCTTGAACCCCTTATTACTGGCCTATAGGTGTAAATAATCCTAGCCTCACATGGTAGCTGTTCTGTATTGTGCATCCATTCAATCAGAGGTTGTTTGGTTTTCTTGATGTGTAATTTACAGCAATCCTCCTGGAACTTAACAGAGTGCACTGCATCAACCTGTTTGTCCCAGGGCAGCTGACCTTGGGAGTGGACCTATTTTTAATGCAAAGTGTTTTGGGGTTTGAAAGCCACAGAGAGGTGGCATTCTGAAAAAATGGGCCTGCTCACATATAAGGGACCACTGAAGGTTCTTGTTTATGCAGCGGTGATCCTTCTCTCCTGGATTACCTGGAGCGTCCTCACATTCACTCAATGCTTTTTTGATATCATGTACTTTTGCTGCTCTTGCTGCTGCATCTGTGGGTGAGGATGGTTTTCATTGTGTTTCATAACACAGAATGAACACAATTTGTGTCAAACGTGTATTTCACTGGATAAGAGTCAAACCTTATTTACTCATCTGTATGTGTTGGTTATGTTACATGATAACTTTTAAATGCCCATTACTGAATTTCACAGTCTAAGAAATCTAGCCTTTAATTTTCAGATCCTCCCTGGTGAACGTCATGTGTTTGTCCACCAAGTTAATGTGATCAGTGACTTGTGGTATGTCCTGAGAGTTTATTTCCACCCTGGTATTATCCAAAAAAACTGAGCCAATGGCTGGGTGGCGTTTGGGTTTTCAGTACAGACTTGGTGTAGCTTTCCCCTGCAGTCCATAGGATTGTCATTTTCTAGCTGTGTCAGACAATCTATCACCATCTTGCTGTAACCACGAGCTGGATCCCCTTTCAGGGTCACATAAATATTTTTGTCACTACGCAGTAACAACATTTTCCAATGATAGTCTGTCTGGTTTAGCAAAACTCTGCTACTGTCAATATCAACGTCCATTTTTATTTCTGTAGCACATTTAAAAGCAACAAAGTTGACCAAAGTGCTTCACAAGTTAGTTCATGAACAAGAGAAAACAAAAGAAAAAAGAAATACAGGAAAATAAGACATGCGAATAGAAAGAAGCAAGAAGCAAATACAATATATTTAACATAAAAACACACAAAAAGAGGACCTGGTGTCACTCAAAATGAACTCGAATTAAAAGCCAATGTAAAAAAAATTTCAGAGTCTTCAGAGTTTCAAGATAGCATTTGAAAGACTGTATAGACTCTGAACTATGAGTATCGAGTCTAGGCGCTGCAACTGAGAAGGCTCGATCTCCTCTATGCTTTAATCGAGACCTCGGCTGTACTAAAAACATTTGGGTAGATGATCTCAGTGCTGTTTAGTTGCTATTGCTTCAATAGCTGGGTGTTTATTTAAAACATAAAACTGAAAGTAGGTAAAAGCATCTTAAAATAAGCACGATAATGGACAGGGAGCCAGTGTAAATTTGATAAAACTGGAGTGATGTGATCGTACCTTCTAACACCTGTTAGAAGACATACAGCAGCATTTTGGACTAAGAGAACCACAGTAGTCCAATCAAGAGGTGTTGAAGGCATGAATAAGTTTTTGCAGGTCTTTAGGAGGAAAATAAGGCTTTGCAACTTCACGGAACTGATAACAGATGCAGCGAGCGTACACAGTCCTACAGTCGCTGAGGAGCTAGCTGCTGGGGCCAGAGAGGAGAGAGAGGTAGCAGGAACATCCGGAGTGAGGAGCGCTGACAAATCACGAGGCGCTGGAAAAACTCCCCGCAAAAGCACAACACAAGTAAAAGTATGCTTTAAAGACTCATCCATTGCTGAGCATTGGGTCATTCCTATTTTTGTTTTTTCATTAGTGTCTGCTTACATATGACACTTTGCAAGAATGCTGGACTTTTTTCATCATTATCAGACATTTTTTACCATATCTGTTTAAAATGACAGATTCTGGTTCATTTTGAGCTAAAGCAAGACCTGCGAACACCAGGCTCAGTCAAATTCATGCTCAGTCATTGCCAAAGATTTCAGTGTGCTGAAAGCATGTTGGCACACTGCTTAACAACAAATATTTCTGGAACAACTTCACCTACTCTCAGGGTGGATGGAGAAGATAAGGATGTGATGACGCAGAGACTCCAGGAACACTTAAGAGTAACGAGACACAACTTTAGCCCAGTGGTTCTCAAAATGGGGGGTGTGCCTCCCAGGGGGGGCGCACGGCCATTGCAGGGGGGGGGGGGGGGGGGGGCACGGTATAAAAAAAAAAAAAAAAAAAAAAGAACGCTTGGACACTGCTAGCATAACGGACAGGTTTTTGATGTGGCTCCCACACAAAAGTAAAGCAGAAGATGAAGCATCGCCAAATATGCTTCCAAACCAACTTCCTTCCAAGCCAAAGACTAGAAAATATGATGAAGCATTCCTGCCTTTGGCTTCACCTGCACAACAGTTTTAATCACGGACAAACAGTATCCCACATTCTTCATTTTTAGTTCACAAACACTTCTTATAACGACTAACTACTCCTGAAAGAGGTTTTAGCTCTTTATACAGTAAAGTTACAGGAGGATGAAAATAATTATCAGGCAAAATGTCCTTCGTTTGTTAAAATAACCCCATGATACCACGTGAGCACACTATAAGCACACTATATACACGGTATATGAGTTACAGAAGCATTGTGGGTGTGTGTACAAGGGGATTATATATGATATAATAAGTAAATAAGGGTTTAAGGGCTGTGGTCATTAAGGATGAGGATGGTAATTGCACATCTGCCAGAATATTGTACAGAAAAAGGAAAGACCAAAATATCGTCAATAGCAGCGACAGAATGACTGTATGGCAGAGGTCTGCTCATGCTCTTAATTTGCATTAATGGTTCTGACAAGTTGTTCTTTAGTCTGTTGGTTTTGCTCCTGATGCCAGAGGGCAGGATGTTGAAGAGGTGGTGGTTATAATCGCCGTGGCTCTAGAGAGACATCTAGAGCTGACAATGGAGTCCAGGGGTGAGAGTGGACAGACGATCACCTTCGCTGCAGTTCTGATGACCCTCTGGTGTCTCTTCTTATCGGCTGTTGTGCAACCAGCGTACCACAGGGATGGCAACACTCTCGATTGTGGCTTGATAGAAGAACACTAGTAGGTTTGCAGCCTGTTCCAACTCATCTCAGGACGCCCTCTCCACATACTCACCTTTTATGGACAGGGGAGGGGGATCAGCTTTTGTCTTGCACAAGTCCATGACCACTTCCTTGGTTTTCCTGGTATTGAGGGTGAGGTAATTGTAGTCACACCATTCTGTCAGACGCTGGACCTCATCTCTGTAGGCGGTGTCATCATCGTTGGTGATGAGCCCCGTGCTGTCGTCTGCAAATTTGATGATGATGTTGCAGGGATAGGGGGGTGCAGTCAGTGGTGTAGATGGTGTACAGGAGTGGACTCAGCACACATCCCTGTGGTGAGCCAGTGCTGAGTGGCAGGGCGGATGGTCTCTGGTTGCAAGCCTGACTGATTGTGTTCGGTCAGTAAGGATATGTGCACTAAAGGACATACCCTGGCCGAAAATGACTCCGACGCTCCTCACAGTGAAGGCCGAGGCAGTGCAGTCCAGAGTAAGAATCTGGTTAGAGCCTTCTATTTCTACGATTATTAGTGTCACGGCCAATAACCTCGGTTTGATCTGAATGTAGAATCTGAAAATTAGATGGCATCCAGGTCTTTATGTTTTTAAGTCATTCCTGCGTTATATAAGGGATAATATTCCCAAAAAAGTAATTACATTACCGTTACTTTCCCGTGTTACTAAACTGTGATTTTGTTTGTGAGAGTGTGTCATGACAGTGACGTACGAGCGTGCGACATGTGCAGATCAACAATGGATAACATGGAGTGCAGGACAGAGTACGACCACTCAGTGTTTAAAGCTTGGAAGTACTCGCATTACTTTGAGTTTCTGTAAAAAGTGACAAAAACATTAGTGCTGCGTCAGGTTGTTTGATAATTCCAAAGAGCCTGACCCGCCCCCACAAAATGTAGCCCACACAGCTGATAGGAGTGATACACGCATGCACATCTACCAAGGTAAAACTGGTAATACACTAATACACTTTAATTTAGCTTGAAATAACTTTCCAATCTAAAGTACAAAGACAAGACTCAAAATGATTTGAAAAGCAGCAGTGTTCAAATAACAACTTTGAAATAGCTTCATGAAGCCTGCAGAGCACTTAAAAAAGAAGAACTTAATACAGAGAAATTATGGGTCAAGTTAATGTCACATGGTTATTGGTTACATGTCTGCAAAACCTCGAGTGGTTGAAAACTAGTCGTCAAATCAGTTTGAAGACAAGTTGGCAAGTTTATGCTCTTTAGTAAGTAAGTAAGCTTCCTGGTGAAATTCCAGATGTGCAAGTGCAACTGGTCATAACTGGACTTTCAATCTCAAAATCAAACCCACACTGAAAGAGGCTCAGAAGCAGACAGGAAGATATCCTTGACCTCGACGCCAAATGAAAATCTGGGGCTTGACTGTTATTAGCCTATTCCCTGAATCATCATTTCTCCATACATGCATGTGACCTACACTGACCCACTGTTTCTAATCAAGAAAATATATAGTGCATCAAGACCTTTACAGCACATCTAGAGAGTACAGAAATTAATAAGATGGGAATTATTATCTTATTTACTAATATTTTCATCTGTCTATCAAATGCATCTCATGGCTAAAACATGGTTTCCATTTAATGTGGAACTTTTGACACTCAAAGGTCAAATGTCAGAGCTGGGAGTGACATCATTCCCAGCTTAAACATTTGTTCAGTAGTAAAGCTGGAAAAGCAAAGAAAGAGAATTTGTTTTGCTCCTTGGCAGAGGGTTGAGCCATTCATACGTTGCTAGCAACACAGTGCACTGTACGCAGTGTACAGACAGAGCATGTTCAATGCTCTGCTTTTGTTGGACTTTCTAAACTGGAAGTCCAACTTTAGGGACTTGGAGCTAAGGAAGCCTAAGAATTCCAAACATGAATGAACACACCTGTATAATCAGGCAGATTCATGAAGTTAACATCAGACGTACATCAGAGCACACAGTACTTTAATATCATACCCCAAGACGACGAGCTCTCCATACTTTACAGGCTCCTTGTCCTCAGGAAAGACTCCATCGTGGGGTTGTGAGCTTGAGCCCAAAGGAGGCGAGGGCTGGCTCTTGTTGCAGGATGGGCGCAGCTCCAGAGATGGGGGGGGACACAACGCCTCTGAGCTACCCTCCAAAACCATGCCCACCGGCCACAGCTGGGGCTCGCTGCTGGGGAGAACAGGTCAGAAGAAAATCATAAAAGCCTGTGCGTTTGAATGAGAAACGTACATTTAAAGTAGTAGTGTAGCACATCTTTAATATCTGATCATATCACAATGGTGTGACAGATGATAAAATGCAAACAATCTCATGCATGAATTATAGGTCAACATTAGCACACAGGCTGCAATATAAAAGTATTCATAGCTTCCTCGAACTCTACCACCTGCACCGTTAAGCAGTGTTTTCTCACACAGAGAAGATTCCCAGTTCCAGTCTTCTGGTTGGCTGTGGCCCCGTCTGTGTGGAGGTTGCATGTTTTCCTTTGTGTACATGAGTTTTCAGCTATTTGAGTTCGTTATTCGTTTGTTGTTGGGTTAATTGGTGACTTGAACTATTAAATTTAACAGTTTTGGCAACAGGCTAATATAGAGAGCAGACAACCATTTGCACTCACAGTCACCCCTGTGTGCACTTTAGACTCACCAGTTAACCTAACCCCACTAACTGCATGTCTGTGGACTGTGGGAGGAAGTCAGAGAGAGCCCACACAGACACAAGCTCCACACAGAAAGGGCCCGGCCCTGGTGGATTCGAACCTGGGACCTTCTTGCTGCGAAGCAACAATGTGGTGGTGTTAACACTGTTGCCTCACAGTATGAACGTCCTTTTTTAACAGAGCGAGAGATTTTTCATCATAGTATTTCTGAACATAATACTTTTCTTTGGAAATTGTTTTTACAAATAACAAAATTATTTCAGCAAAAAAACATAAATTTCAATCATCAATATTATGACCCTGTGAAAAAATGACTCTTTGATTTAGTCATAGAGCCAACCATGATGTGCTGTTCAAACTTTCAAGTTAAAGCTGAGGGTTAGCTTTTAATTCACATACAGTATAAAAACATCAGGTCTGAGCCGTCACTTGAGGGAGAATGATGCCAAAAACAGAAGAAATCAGGTTAAACATGAGAAAAGTAATTTCTGATGCTGAGAAACCAAAGGTCATATCCAACATAGCCTGTTTTTCCAATTTTCAAGTCCTGGGATGAGAAATTCAGAGCCACTCAGTACAAAACAACCCAGTAGCAAACAATAGATTAGAGACTGAAAGACAGTCAGAATCAGCTTCACTGTCCCAGTATGCAGACGGAGTATTTGGGTATTTCTTTGATTTCAGTGTATGTGGCAGATTAGACACACACAATGCAGACAATAGCAACAGACAGACAAAAACAAAAAGGACTCTTTGATTCAGCAGCAGGTGTGACGAGTCTTTTATGTAGAAACTTAAGTGTTCAGAGGGTTTCCGCCTGTGGGGTGCAGTGCTGTGTAGTGCCTACCACAGGGGAGGACCTGGAACAGATTGTGTTCAGGGTGCGAGAGCTTTGCAGTGATGTTTCTTTCTCATTCATTACATTTGTTTTTATTTTTAAAGTCCCAAATTACAACACCAAGGTTTCTGCAGGCCTCGCTGTCTATTACGATCTGTTCTTCCTGAGCTGATGGAGGAATTACATCCTCTGCTGAGCCTTTTTAATAAAAATAGTTAGAAATGTGTCTAATGATCCCAGAACAACTGCCAAGACACTTGTGAATGACTTAACCAAGTCCTGAAGTGTGGTCTGAAAGAAGACTATTACCATGTTCATGCACAGAAATTGATTGTGAGGATTACAAAGAAAATGTCTGTTACAGGAAATATTCTGTGAAAAGCCAAAATGTCCATAAATATTAATCTCTCATAGTAATTTAGTAAAAGCCGGACACGGCCCAGATTCTTCAGTGTTTTCTTTGAAAGTTGCTGCCTTCAAGCCCCAAAACAAAGTAGACGATACTTGCAGTTCCTCCAGAGTATTCTGAAACTCAGGACAGTATCCAGGAGTACAAAGTCAGTGTGCAGCAGTCTAACATAACAGCAGCAGCTACAACAGAGTGAAATGACTCCACAAGACTGAAGGACAGTCCTGATGTCCTCTGGTGTCTCACTGTGGTCTCCTCTGTGGACGCTTTGATGTAAAGCAGCTAAACTGTCTCAGCCGCACACGTGGGTGCTGCCAAGGTTTTGGGACCCCACAGAAAAATATCCCTGTGAGTCGCACGACATTAATAATTCAAATCATGACGCCCTAAAATATATTTATAACACTGAGCAGACATGGACGATGCTCTGCTGAGAAAAAGATGGGTTTTGAGATTGATGAGATATGTGCAAGCCATCATTCTAATGTTTTATTATAACGTTATTATTTATTTTATTTTACATTTTCATCTATAAAATGGTCCAAAAGTATTTTTTACTGCTTTAACATTTTTATTTATAATATTAATTATTGTCAGATATAAGTTAAATAATCCTTTGGATTATAACACAGTATAAACAAATGAACCATGCTTCTGTCCTGAAGTTGAATTGGTTTTGATTTGTTTACTGAAGCTCTGACGTGCAGCCACACAGCAAGTAAAGGTACACAGCAACAGCCAAAGTGGAAGAGATGAGTAAGTGTCCTGCATTTCATCCACTGAAGACAGAGATTCAGCAATGCAGCCGTAGACCGAAGCTTGAAGTTAAGGCGTTAAGCTTTGCAGCTCACTGATAAGTTCTATGAGAGGTTCAGAGGAAGTCTGTTGTATATCAAAGTCTACGTTTGGTCAGTGCATGTCTCAATCTGTTTAAAAGAATGAAAAATATTTGTTGCACATGCTTCATACATTTATAATTTTCTTTATCTTGTTTTCATCCACATTCACAGAGGAGAGGGAAAGAAAAACCTAAATACATTTGTCATGTGATCATTGTACAGAGCATTTTTTAAACAAAACAAATGTGATTCAAACACATTTGAAATACTCACCAATCCTAACGAGCTTTTACAATGACAGAGCTAAATGGAAACCAACTACTGCATTTCATAGGCAGAATATCACGTATCTGTAAAATAACAAAACTATCCATTAGTCTCAAAGCCATTTTCACAACAGTGAGGTAAAGCATTCAGCACAGTTCAATCCTAAATATAGAAATAAGCACATGTTAGCATTCACGGTATCTAAGGCAGCTCATCACAGTGTAAATGAACTGAAGAAGGCTTTTGGGTTACAGTCACAACATACTCAGACGTTAGATGTAGATCAGTCACAGATAAGTAACATCACAGACACACACTAAACATCTATTATTATTATATTATACACACAAATGGGAATTATATTTAGAATATTATTTATTTATGATTCAATGTTAAGTACAATTCTCTCTACAAGTTATTCTTACATTTTTAGAACTCTTTAGTGAAACAGAACAGCATCTGAACTAAAGTGGACACCGTGCTAGACGCCCAACAGCTTTCCAATCGATGTGCACGCTATTCCAACAAATGAAAGGAAAGCTTTTCACTAACTCCCCTTCATGGCTAGGCTGGCATAACATTAGCTAAAAGCACAAAGCTTTCATTTCATATAAAAACTGTTCTACTGAAACTCAGGTTTCTGCTTAGTTACTGACTGCAGCAGCTACCATGTAGATCAGCATGTACAGGGGCAGCTGCTACGTGGTGGTAATGTTGCTGCTCCACACTTTAACACAGCAGCAACATTAACAGTAAGGAGCTACAAATATAATCCTAAAAATAGTACATGAGCATGAATTTCCTCATTTTGTGGCAGCAGACATGTTTCAACAAGCAAGAAACTCCGCCCACATTAGCCTGTTTAATGCAGGCACCTTTCCTTACGACATGACCGATGCAAGTATGTAACTGTCTGTCGTCATACACAGAAAAAAGTCAAGCAAAAGTTGCAAAAAATCATTTCTCAGATTTTATTCACTTATATTTGTTTACCATTGATTTAAAGAAAAGATTTGACATTAGATAACAGGGTCCTGATGCTTGTCTCAATAACATACAGCAAAAACTAAAACCCCAAAATTTAAAAAAACAAAACCCACCTCACCCAGTAAAAATCCAGCTGGGTCGAGCGTCTACAAAGGATCGAAACTCTCTGTGTTACAGTTTTAAATTTGTATTTACTCTTAAAGCGTCCACACCCACTGGAATTCAGTTCAGTTTTATTAATATAGTGTCAAATATCAAGAACGCACTTTATATTGTAAGATAAAGATTCTGAGATAATATAGAAACAACCCCAACAATCAAACGACCCCCTTCGAGCAAGCGCTTGGTGACAGTGCAAAGGAAAAACTTCCATTTATCAGGAAAGCTCTGGTAGAACCAGGCTCAGGGGGGGCAGCCATGTGGCTGAAGGTGAGCGGAGGAAGGCAGGTCAAAAGAGCCAGACAGGAATAATATCTCAGGATTAAATGCAGAGTAGTGTGTAAAAAGGTGAATGAAGAAGAACCATGAGAAGCCCCTGGCAGCCAAGACCCATTGCAGTGGAACTAGAGGAGGATTACGGGAACATCTGATAAGCCCTAACGATAAACGAAACGAAAGTTTGAAGCCTTAATCTTCAAACTTTCCTTTGACTTTTCCTTTGTTAAAATCCGAGAAGTAAAATACAAGATGTCAAAAAGTGAGCCTGTGAGCTTGAAGGCTACTTCTGGCATTAGAACGCAGCTCCGGACAATAAGGACCTCGACGTCCACAAAGACGGGACATATCTGCCAGTCTTTGGCTCCTTAGTACTTAATGCTAACCTTTCACATATGGTAAATGGCCTGTATTTATATAGCGCTTTACTAGTCCCTAAGGACCCCAAAGCGCTTTACACATCCAGTCATCCACACATTCACACACTGGTGATGGCAGCTACATGTAGCCACAGCCACCCTGGGGCGCACTGACAGAGGCGAGGCTGCCGGACACTGGCGCCACATTAATACTAACCTTTCACATATAATGGATATAATGCACCGCCTTGGCTGATCAGATTATTCCACAGTTCATTTCCTGTTTTTACCAAGATGCAGTTTGCTGCAAAGTCAATTTTCCTTCAAAACAGAAACTTGGTGGTTTTCCAGAGACCTCTCCCTGCCATTGAAG